CTGGCAGCAAAATATATATATATTGTTGTAGAAGCTCCAAGGCCAGTTCTTAAGGGAGCTCTCTAAAACATTAGACACATGATATGTAATAAGTCATTATTTACATATGTATGTGCATGCCCCCAACATGATAGAGCCTGGATATGCATATAGTTCGATCAGACCCTGGGCATTACAAAATGAGATGCAAGGTGATGCATGTCAAACTACCTCACCAAGAACAGGATTAACTTCAGAGGCAAGAGTAGGTATTTGCTTACAGCTTGCACAGTTAATAGATCAGCACCTGTGACTGTGAGACCTCAGGGGATGTCTTAGTGCTGACTCCCAGCTGCAAGAGTAATTATGAGGCTAGGTTCACACCTGCACTACACCACACGACACCCGGGACACGCGGTCCTGTACAATACAGGCAGCGATTGCCGCACGGCCCCATTGATTTCAATGGGGTGACATGCCTGCGACAATCGCTAAAAAAGGTACAAGTACCTTTTTTTTGCAATACAGAATGCGCGGCTGTTTTAGCCGCAATCGTGTTCGGAAGCACGTGGCGGAATCGTGGCGGGAAACCGCGCGATCCGCCTGGCGCGACTGGGGTGCCATTAGAAAATAATGGCGCCTATAGCGCAATCGGTTCACACCTTGGTGACTCCTGAGTGACCGTGCGGCAATTCATGCGGAATCGTGCACGATTGCCATGCGGTGAGGTGTCGCCTAGGTGTGAACCTAGCCTAAAAGTAGGGAAACCTAGAAGTGGACCTAGCTGTAGATATATTTTTTGTTAAAGTGACATTAAACCCTCAGATTTTTTAACATAAACCAATACTGTAATGTGGGCCTTACTGTAATCCATGGTTGTTTCCCTTCTCTTTGCTGCTCTTCCTTTAAATCTTTATCTCTTCTCATGCTTGGGGAGAACTTCCCTTTGCAGCTGAGTGCCTCTTCCTGTAGTGCTGGCTCAGGTTGTGAACCTACACACAGACACCATGTATCCATTCCAGAGACAAGGCAGTCTGCTGCAAAACAGAAGTTCTGCCCAGCATGAGAAGAGATAAGGATTTAAAAGGAAGAGCAGCAAAGAGAAGGGAAACTACCATGTATTACAGTAAGGCACACATTACAGTATTGGTTTATGTAAAAAAATCTGAGGATTTAATGTCACTTTAAGTACATGCAGGCTAAGTATTGTGTCAGTGTAACAACTCCAGGTATTTATTTTACAAATCTGAATCAAAATTCGGACAAATTTTCTGAAATTCGGACACATCCAAATTTCCGAATACGAATGCATCCGAATGTGTCCAAATCCGAAGTCACATGTCCGAATTTCGTTCAAAAACGAAACTGAATCGGACATGTGACTTTTCTGGCCAATCAAATGTGTTTTTCAGTTTAATGCATCCGAATGGGTCTGAACATGAATTTTCATTTAGGCAACATGGGAGCCATATACAGTATATACATATAATACTAAAGCTGAGGCTCCTAGAATCCGAATTTTCGTACTGCATTCGGGAGCTCCTGAATGCCATTTGGGTCTGGGAGCCTCAGCTTTGGTAATATATGTATATGGCTCCCAGACCCGAATGGCATTCGGGAGCTCCTGAATGCAATTCAGAAATTCGGATGCCGAATGCAATTCGGGTTTAGGAGCTTCAGCTTTAGTATTAATATCTGTGAATGGTTTTCTATGGTATTCGCAACAAATATTCGTAAACTCATCCCAAACTAATGAAAATTCGGATTTCGTCCAAATCCGAAACCCAAATCAAATTGAATTTCGGATCCGAAGCTCGAAATAACAAAATATCCGGACCGAACCAAATTTATCTGCAGCTTACATGTGTATTTATTACCTCTTACAGAGATCATATTACTTCCCCTGACAATGTCTTCATCTGCTTTTCTCTCCAGAAGGATGGAGCCATCCTGGTTCAGGCATCATTCTGGGTCACCATCCCATTCTTGGAGTGATATGACACATTAATGTAAATCCTTGTGCCAGGGGCGTCCCGAGGCTGGGTAACACCCGGAGCGGTGTCCGAGTGTCACCCCGCCAAGACGTCACCGCGCATGCGCGCGATTACGTCATCGCGCACGCGTGATGACATCATCGTGCACGCGCGGCAATATTATGATACTTGCCGGCGGCCATCTTGGTGATGGACGCCGGCAGATAGAGAGGAGGAGACAGCCACCCGCCGGGATAAGGTATGCCGCCGGGTCCCCTCCTCTCTCCTGATACTGTCGGGTGTTCGGTCCATGACCGAGCGCCCGACTTTTCAGAGGGGGGTGAAACCAAAATGACTGCAAGTCATTTTGGTGTCACCCCTCCAATGGTGTCACCCGGGTGCGGGCCGCACACCCTGCACCCCCCTTGTGACGCCACTGCCTTGTGCCTATGCAGTGTTCAGAAATGTCAGACCCAGACTAGCCCCTTCTGCACCTTCTCTCTCTCTCTCACCTTGTTATTTGCAACAAAGTTACAATGTTGCAGTCTGATCTCTGCCATAGTAGAGACCGAGGAAATGCTGCCATAATAATTTCAGGCTAGGCAAAATCACTGACTGGTGCTTAAAGTGACACTAATCTCAGGAGCTAAATCTTAAAAATACATTCAAGTAACAAAATTCTATTAACACAGATGTACCCTATTTGTGTATCACTCAGTTGTAGATCCTCAGACCATCTCTGAATTGGTGTTGACGCTGTCCTTCCTTCTGGAGGGGGCCTATTTTTGTTCTCCATGATCCCTGTGTGTGTGTGTTGTAAATTAGCCACCGCTGCAAGCCCACTCCTGTGATGGACTACAATCTCAATGCAAATTAGTAAACTAAACATGAGATTGTAGTCCATCACAGGAGTGGGCTTGCAGCGGTGGCTAATTTACAACACACACACACAGGGATCATGGAGAACAAAAATAGGCCCCCTCCAGAAGGAAGGACAGCGTCAACACCAATTCAGAGATTGCAAACAGTATATAGCTGTTGTTGGAGATTATAAACATGCTTCAAGAGAGTCGTAGACTGGAGACCCATTATAAGACATCACTAGAGATCACTGCTCCTTTTCAAATCAATGATTCCACATTTGTGCTCCCTACAGCCACCTTAAAAAATTACCGCTGATATTTCTCTGAGCATTATAAAAAACAAAGCGTGAAAAGGAATAGACGGCATGAAAAAGAAGTTAAGATATTGTGAATGCAATTTAGCTACTAGAACCCAGTCTAAAGAGTATTTTTTATCTTCAAAGACCCTGAGGGATGCATCATAAATGGTGAAGGGTCGCATGCAACTGGTTTATAGATATTTGTATGTCGCACTGAGCTATAAAACCTTTTTTGTGTTTCTTATTACATATTTCTGGTTTCTGAGCTTCTTGCTTCATACATAAAAATTTGATGTATTTCACAGGATGCAACACAGAGCCTAATTAGATTGTTTGATGACAGCAGAAAAGGTCAGCAAAACTAAGTGAAGGGAAAATAGGCAATAATTAGAAGATGGAATTGGTAAAGCTGGGAATGACTTTTAGCAACGGTTGTGAAAAAGTCATCATGTGTAATAGGTACAAGCTGGTCTTGTATTTCTGCTTATACAAAACAGGTGGGACATAAATCTATCAGCTGAAAGACAATAATGGATACTACCCAATTATGCTAATATATCAAAATGTCACAGGAAATGCTTATAATATAGCACTATGCATAAATTGTATCTCTGCTACCATGCACTTGCGGTCAAACATTTTTAGTTAAATTATGTTGTAATACAATTTTATCAATTTTATCAATAGTTTGATCATATGTCTACATTCTTTCAATAACCTTCAATTAGTTGTTTTTTTAAGTGTACTTTGCCCATGCAGAATAAAGGAACAGGTTCCCTTATATGCCAGCATACCAGATTATACTAGGTTCAGGGATATTTGGTAAAATTTCAGTAGGAGGAGCCACAGCGGATGGCAGCAGAGCAAGTATGCTACATACCGGGAAGTGTAAAATACTTGTAGCAGCTGGGGAGCAGAGAAGCAGCAGCATTTCAATACGTGTGCTGCCCGAAAGGTTAGGGTGATATTAACGTCAACCTGTTTTGAAGGTATTTCAAATGCTGATGAAATCACTTACAATGGATGCTGCTCCTGGATGTTTAAAACTTTTAAAGTCCTGCAGAATAATCTGGTATCCTGTTTTAGGGTGGCTCCTTTCCCTTTCAGGAGAATGGAGCCACCCTTGTGTGTGCTAGTAAGCAGTCTCCACAAACACACAGACACAGCAAGACAAACCAGTCCCTAGCTCTCTGCTCCTCCTTCCTCCCTTTTCCAAGCTAGTAGATAGTTGCTGGAGACTGCTCTGTCCCTTGTGTGACCCTCCCTCTGTACTTGTACTTGACAGGAAGTTCAGGGAAGCTAAACTGAGAGATTTGGAGCTGTTTGGAAACATGATGACTGTAAGAGTGAGCAAAAATGTAAAGAACTGCATTGCTGGGCAATGAATACTTGTTTGATCCGGATTAATTAATTAAAAAAAATGAGGATTTAATACTACTTTAATATCTTCACGCTTCTCTACCGGGGGACCTAGCGGGTTTTGGAAGTTCCTTTTAAGAATCCTGGACTTGTTTTCATGCAAAAATGGCCCCACATTAGCCTCATTATTTATTTTGTTTCCACCGTAAAAATACAGACAGACAAAACTAAGTAGAATAAAACATTAAAGTGACAGTATACATGTAAGGATTGAACACCAAAAAGAGAAGAAAAATTACAAGAATATAAAAATAAATATACTGCCCTAAATACAATTCCATAAAAAAAACACACCCCTCTAAGTAAAGAAAACCAAAAAGATTTGGTTGGTCACTCTTGTACACTGCACTCCTCATGCAAAGAAGGGGGAGAGTGCCCCATGGCATTTCATAGACTTCCATAATAACAGCGCCAATTGCAGACTTTATCAAGATGATGGAACCATTTCCGTATTTCTCTCTTGACAGATATATCGGTCAGCCTCCTTGCCGTGGTGGTGAGTTTCTGCGGGTTAGCTCTCTTGGTGGTCTCCCTCTTCGTCTTCTGGAAGCTGTGCTGGCCTTGTTGGCGTAGTAAACCGCTCACTTGCACCGTGCAGGCTGTCCCTCCCTGCATCCCCAGCGCCCCACCTGAGATGATGGAAACCGATGAGAAGAAGGAAATTAAGCAGAATGGCAAGCATTCGGTGAAGATACAAGAGGCGGCCATGAAAATCAGTCACACTTCACCCGATATTCCGGCCGAGGTCCAAAATGCCTTGAAGGAACATCTGATGAAGCACGCACGAATGCAGCGTCAAACCACAGAGCCAACATCCTCTTCACGGTAAGAAAATGTAGTTTATTTATTATTTGGTGCATTCATGCAGCAGTGACATAGTACACAGCACTTGAGTGTAAATCTGTAAATCCAAACTTTGTGTATGTATAGCCAATACCATGTTTTTAGTTTTCAATGAGGTAGGGAAGGGTTATAACCTCTAGCAATTTATTTTCTGCTATACATGTCCCATTGGGGAGATTACCCTTCACTTCCTGCCCTATTGATGAAACAGGAAGTTAGTGGAAATCCCTAGGAAGTGAGGTGAATTCTCTTCTTATTGGAATTTTTCTCCTCACTTTCTGTTCTAGTGACACATTTCCCCTCCCTCATTCCCTTTCTGCCTATGTGACAGTGCTTGCCAGGACAAATACGGAGGATGCATCTACCATGCAGCACCAAAGAAAGCAATAAAAGCCCCTCAGGGGTTCTATTCCTTCTTAAAGAAAAGTTTTGCCTATACATACACATACATTACTTGCCTGTACATACTGTACATATACTATACAGCTGATGTTTAATCTTCCCTCCCCCTGCCCCTATTAACATGCTAATTACATTTTATAATAAAAGCTTCCTGTTTTCATTGTGTACCTTATTTTAGACCCAGAGGTAGTAGGGACATTTAGTCACCTATATATCTACTGAGTTATTTTGTAACCACTTTCTCAGCCTGCTTGGCTTTGTATTCGCTCTGATACATTGCTATTTACAAGGCAGTATGACTTGTACTGGACCAGTTATACTGTAGCATCTGTTCTATTTATTGGAACACAGTGTATTTCTTCTGTGTTTTGTGAACATGAATGGCTGACAAAGATTTTATGAAAAGGAACACTTGGCAGTCTCTCGATCCCCATCATCATTAATGCCATCTTCATCAACACAGAAGAATTACATTATTTTATAAGGGCATCAGCAGCATGTGTCAACCTGCAGAGAGCACTAAAGAGGACAATGACACAAATGCTGTAAAAGGTCCACGATGACTCACACGCTGCTGTGGCAGAAATGAAAACATATGTGTGCATTTAGAGTAATTGTATTTGTGTTGATGATAATACAGGGAATGCCTTGAAAAATGTGTATGGCTAAACTATACAGCAAAGGTATTTTTCTAGAGAGAAATCCTGGAGTAAAATACTGATGTCTGGTCACATACAGCTTGTTTATTCCATTGTAGGTCTATAAAAACATCAAATGTTCTTTTAGTCATAGATCTATCCAATTGGTGGCCCTTTTATTATTTTTTGGAAAGAATAAAGGTTTATTGAGTTTTACATAAAAAAAAAGTACAGTACCGTAGGGGTACCGTAGGTAGATCATCACAGCACTGTTTTTTTCAAACATGCTACAGTGTATATCTTGACCACAGTAAAAAGTTGTAGATCCAAATCAATATGTGGGGCCACAGGAAGTATCGACCACCTAACCGCACCTATGAGAACGTAGAGGAGGAAACAGTACCAAGAGAGAGAGAAGACAATAGGGGAAATGGGGTCAAAACAAAGAGTAAATAGGGTAGGCACATGGAACTCCACACCATTGGCTAATAGACATCAGACTCCGATCCAACAATTTGGGTCCACTCAAGCCTGACTAGATGAAAGGGATCGATGAAAAGGACCCAGGGGTTCTACAGGGCAAAGTACTTGTCCTGAGTGTCATATAAGTGGCCAGTTAAGTTTTCCATGCACATGAAAAGGCATAGTTCAGTAACCCAGTCTTTGATAGCAAGGACAGTGATCAACCTCCAGTATCTGGAGATAAGGCGGCCATTTTATTAGCCCCTTCTTGTCCGCAATCTGTAGTATAATGTTCCTCAGCATGATGCACGGTGCTGTGGGAATCTTGAACTACATTACCTTTTTTCCCCTCGCTTTCACTCCCAGTGACAATTGTCTTCAAGATACAAAGGTCAACAACGAAGACACAGATAGCAATAGAAACCTGGAAGGCATTCCAACCCTACCATATCCTTTCACAAACTAAAAAACGTTGACCCGTCTTTCACTTCTACCGGCCCTTAAAAGGGGTTTTGGACACCCAGAGTTACAGGTGGACTTCTCAATCATTTGATTGGCTTTTACAGTGATCACATGGTAAGGAGCCCATCCTAGATCACAGTGCTGGGATGGTGAGTGAGTGTCCTCGGTACAGAAAAGCAGAGTTGGATGTACGCGTATATGCTTCAGCTCAATGTTAAAGGTTGCCCGCCATGCTGTTGAATTTATGCGTACACCCAGCAGCAAGGTGGTAACTTGCACATTGATTGAACTCCCTTACTTTAGTACAGTTGCAGGATTTCCTGCATAGCATAAAACGTACATTAATCTATTCTGTCTCCGGGCAGACATTTTTTCCTGTGCAGCCTTTCTCTTGGTGAAAACTTCCGTACGTGGAGGTTGGAATCAGGAAACACAGTAATCTAATTTTTTCCTAGCTCAGATTAAAGCACCAGTATAGCTTGATCAATAAATAAATAAATAATAAAAAAAAATGATTACCCTTTCATTGCATATATGGAGGGTGGCTACTTTTGTTCCCCATGGCCCCTGAGTGTGTTGTAAAGTAGCCACCACTCCAAGCTAGCTCCTGTGATTGACTACAATCTCAATACAAGTTAGTAAACTAAACGTGAGATTGTAGTCCATCACACGAGTGAACTTGGAGCGGTGACTATTTTACAGCACACACAGGGACCATGGGGAACAAAAGTAGCCACCCTCCAGAAGGAAGGACAGTGTCGGCAGTTTAATGTCACTTGAAGTTTACCTTTTGCCTGAATAATATTATTCTTCTATAATCTCAGTAGTGACTGGTTCACTTTAGGCTCCAAAAACCAACATGGAGTTTCACAGAGGGAAGTTATGAAGGGATTTGCTACAGAAATTGAACTAGAGATTAAAAAACCTTGTCTTTTGTCATTCCTCACTGTGTAGTCAAAACATGTCATTTTCTGCTGCGTTAGCCAGTTTTAAGTGGCTTTTTGTTATTGTGCTTTGGAATGTTTAGCAAGAAATTATTCATAATCTTGTGCCTGAACAATTTGCGTTTTATACCCAATTGGTTGAAGTTTTTCTAGGAGTTTTTTTCTGGGGACATATTTAAAGGTGGATTCCAAAAGTGGCAATATTATTTCAGCTAAATTGATTTAACAATTTCTCTGTGGATAACATTTTGATAAATTGTCAATTCTGCTTATGGATCTACTTTGGCAAAAATAGTTTGAGAAAAAAACAAAAATGTAGGGATGCACGATACCATTTTTTCAAGACCGTGTACGAGTACCGATAATTTTCCTCAAGTACTTACCAATACCAATTACCGATACCTTTTTTTTAAGTGTCATATAATAGTTTTTCTAAAACAATACAGACTAATGATTTTAGGACAGTGGTGGAGTGCCAGGGCACAGCCACAGTGGCAAATGCTGCACCCCTGGTAGTTCTGCCACTCACTCCAAGCTGTAGAAGGACCACCAATCCCAGCAATACATTATAAAGCAATGCAGAATACCACCAGCTATAGAGTACTACAAATCCCAGCAATAGATTATACAGCAATACAGAATAATGCCACCAGCGATAGATGACTACAAATCCCAGCAATACATTATACAGCAATGCAGAATAATGCCACCAGCTAGAGAGGACTACAAATCTCAGTAATCCATTATACAGCAATGCAGAATACCACTAGTTATAAACGACTACCAATCTCACCAATACATAATACAGCAATGCAGATTAATGCCACCAGCTATAGAGGACTACAAATTTAAGTAATGCATTCTATAGCAATGCAGAATAACATTAAGCTATACACTCTGTGTTGCTTACCAGGGCTATGCCTGGACTCAGGAGGCTGTGTGGGGTCTCAATAGGGCTGTGCGGTGTCTGACCAGGGCTGTGTGCAGTCTCACCAGGGCTGAGCATGGTCTCACCAGGGCTGCCTGCGGGTCTCACCAGGGATGTTCGGGCAGGTGCGGCAGTGGGTCTCCCCAGTGCTGTGCGGGCATCTGCGGGTCTCCCCATGGCTGCACAGGTGCGGACAGACAGTGGGAAGGAGGATCAGGAGATATGCAGCTGGACCGGCTCGGTAAACAGCCGCTGAGAGGTCCCCAGCAGACTGCCGCAAGGTCACCGGCAAGTGCGGGACCTTATGGCAGCCGAAGTAATTTTAAAATTTAAAGGCCCGGTATTGGCTTTAAGTATCTGGGCATTTTCACGAGTATGAGTACCAGTATCGGTATCGGTGCATCCTTACAAAAAAGTAATACTTTTTTTTCTTTAGAGCGTGCTATTATTTTTTTGAGGGTTTATTTAAAGTGTATTTTCACTTTTGCAGTCAAATTTGAGAAAACCCCTCCATATGTTTGCTATGTGTTCCCATTCACACAGCATAGTAAAAAAAATAAATGAAAAAAAAATATGTCGTTCCTTATCCAGGTTTATCTGTGCACCTTCACAGGGTTCTAATCCTCTAACCCTTTGTTAGGACAGGCATTGTTCAAATCTACTTCAAATACCATAATGAAATGATCTGTCACAGTACAGATAGGGTTACTATAATGAAATGATCTATCACAGTACAGATAGGGTTAACAAACCCCTCACAGCCCTTCCGCACATTACAAAGAAGGAGAAACCAAGTAGAGAGTTTAACCCTTAAGAAGCTAAGAAACTCTAACCCAAGTAAAAGCAATTTAAACCACAAGAAGCATTTGTTTGAAATATTTTGCTTATGCTATGTGAATGGGAATATGTAACGATTATAAAATATGTGTTATCAAGGTTTGGCTGCAAATGTGGAAGTGGACTTTTTATATTGCTGTCTGTGTGCCCGTTCACCCCCTCTGTTTGTCCTGGTGACCGTTATCACTGAAAATGAAATAAAATCTAACATTTTTGGCACAGGAATAGAAGGGAAATCTTCCAATGGTGACCCTAGTTCTGGTGACCCAACTGACCACCGGGGATTTCCCTCTCTTTGGAGGGATTTCCTCTCACTTAATGTTGTGGCTATTGGAACGGAAGTGATGAGCAATCTCCCCAATGGGACACAGATGGCAAAAAAAAAAAAAAAAAGCTGACCTGGGTTATACCCTTCCATAGTCTATCCAAAACGAAAAAAAACGTTTTGGCTTCAGTTCTACTTTTGGGCTAACATTTGGATTGGCTTTGCTTATTGACCATCGGTCACCATGTCATCAGTCTCCATAATAACTTTTTTGTTTTTTTCAATGGCACTGTGGCGAAAGCAGTCTCACAAATTCCACACAATCACTCCACTCATCTCTCCTCTGCTCCTTGGTACCCGCCTGTGTCACTGGTTGGTTTATATCAATCTAACCAAATGCTTGTCCATTCAGTCACTGTAGACCAGTAAATTAGTCAAAAAGTGTAGGAAAAAGCTGATGGAAAGTTTCCAGAATTCCAGACAACAGAAAAAGTATTTTTCCGGTTGACAGTTTTTTTTGTTTTTTTTTGTGATAAAGATTATTTGTACGAATTATTTTTCTTAGGTTTCTCAGTAGGAGTGTTCCCATTTCTGTTTTTCCCATATTAAGATAATTGAAGGATAGTACGCATCACATCCCTCCACTGATGACTACTCTCTTCATTGGTACCCTAATTGGATGACAGTTGTCGTAGCACAGCGATAAACCAGTAAACTATCATTGCAGGTATCATTGTGTCTTCTTGACTGGTTTCCATATCTGCACAGTTGGGGGATGGATGGTGGTGGTGGTGGTGTTGGCGGTGGTGGGGGTATAAGGTGCTGGCAAGCTGCTAACAGACACAAAACGTTTATGAAAAGTAATTACTCTGAAGCTCTATGAGTTCCGAGAGTGTGATAACAATGTTAGGAAATTTATGCAACAGAAAGACAATTTCAGTATGCAAATTATGGCAGACAAAAGAACAAAATTAATTGAATCTGTGAAAAGTGTCACGTCAACATATATATAAGCATCGGAATATTATTTGATATATAATAGGTTTATGCATTCCTCATTATGAATGGTTCTAACTGGCTATCGTTAAACAAAGGATGACATGTTCGTTGAAGGAGCAGGATGCGGTTCATGGGAGGTAAACTGGAAAATGAGACAGAAAAATGAGAAAAGAGCTACGCTGTGTCTCTAATTAATCATCTTTAACTTTCCATTTCCAGAATGTTTCTCTGTTTTTGTCTGATGTCAGTGAAGGATGATCAGTGGGAGAAATGTAAGAGTTGGTTAAAATATCTAAAATGGCCATGGAGCCAAGTACTTGAAATCCCATATATAAGCTTTAACACGTTAATGTATTTTTAATAGTCATTCTGTATCTTTAAATCAGCAGCTTTCCTTAAAAAATCCCTGTTCAGGCACTTCCGGTTAAAGGGTGGCAACGCTTTGTCCCTGTCTCCCTGTGCTCCTGCATTGCCGCTTTGCCACACGGGTTTCCAAAGAAGTCTACAAGTTGACATTTCAACATACATTGGCACTGTTGTCACCAACAGGAAACCCGACCTTGAGAAATGCCATGCGGCTATTGCAGGAATGCATGTAGACAGGAAGTAACTTAAAAGAAGCTGAAGAAGATCAGCAGAACTGACATGCAGCAAAGTATAATAAAAATAAGCAAAAGCAAACAATGGCAATCAGCACTTTAGCAAACTTAATGTCAATTGTAATTGTCTAGGGTTTACATCTACTTTAAAAGCTATCCATATTCAGGGTGTAATATGAAACATGGTCAGATCGCAAACGATGAGTCATTAAAAATCCTGTCAAAGGATCTGTGAATTGGTGGCATTGCTAAGCCGTTTCAAATTCAAAAAGGAACATGAGTCTGCGGGGAGAAGAACCCAACGATTCAAGTAAGCGGAGGACCCCCCCCCTCCTCCCACTTACTTGAATCATGGGGTTCTTCCCCCCGCAGACTCATGTTCCTTTTTGAATTTGGCCCAGCTTAGCCATGCCACCAATTCACAGATCATTTGACAGGATTTTTAATTACTCATCGTAAATCCTTTAGGAAAATGTATCTCTCTAGTGGTCCCAGCAAGTAGGATAAACTAGGAATCCTGGCAGTGGCAGTGATGTCTTAAACCCAGAATCCACACTAGTCAAAAGCTGTGCCAGGAACCCCATAAAACTCAAATATTAGCTTTGGATGTAGTTTACAATTCAGAGGGCATAACACATTTCTAACACAAGCAAATCTCATCCATCCCACTCATTTGGTTCTCTTACAGGCACAATTCCTTCCGGAGACATTTGCCACGGCAGATGCAGGTGTCTAGCGTGGACTTCAGCATGGGCGTGGAACCTTTACAAAGAGGCGAGACTACAACCAGCATCGGCCGGATCAAACCTGAACTCTACAAACAGAAATCCGTTGACTCAGAAGACAATAAGAAAGAGGACGTTAAAACGTGCGGAAAGCTCAACTTCACCTTGCAGTATGACTACGAGAATGAACTTCTTGTTGTGAAAATCGTGAAAGCCCTGGAATTGCCGGCCAAGGACTTGTGTGGCACCTCCGACCCGTATGTGAAGATCTATCTCCTCCCTGACAGGAAGAAGAAGTTTCAGACGAGGGTTCACAGGAAAACCTTGAACCCCAACTTTGATGAGACTTTCCAGTTTCCGGTGGCCTACGACCTGCTAAACAATAGGAAACTGCATTTCAGTGTGTATGACTTTGACCGATTCTCTAGACATGACATGATTGGGGAGGTCATCTTGGATAATTTATTTGAAGAGTCAGACCTTTCCAGAGAGGCCACAGTGTGGAAAGACATCTATTGTGCCACAACAGTAAGTACAACATCTCTAGATGTTTGTCATATTTGTATCTTTGTCTGTAGCTGGTACTAGCAAGTTACCTTTAGCTGAGCTTATTCTGTAATGTTGAAGAGGAGAGATTTCACTACTTATCCAGTGGCTTCCTCTGTTCTAATGTCAACAGCATACCCCAGCTTTTGTAGCCACATGGGTCACTCGGTCACTTTAAAGGCTGTCCCTGGGCATAATTGGCAGCTCCGCTGTTCCTTACATGCATCTCAATCCAACCCATTCCCAATTTTTTTTGCTCCTTATTCCATTTTTAGCTTTCTTGAATCCACTGTCATGTTGCCTTCTCCAGTGTATCTTCCATCCGGACATTCACCACTGCAATCCGGGCCCATCATGGACTAGTCTTGTGGGCACAATTCTAACGCCTCTGTCAGAGTCTTCATGACCCTGTGAGGATGCCATGGATGGACCCAATAGATGGTGTCCATGTCAGCACGTAGTGACGTGGGCATCCAAAGAAGGACCCTCCCACTCTCTAGTCTAGAAGAGATGAGAACCCCACACAATACGTGACCACAGATTTAGTGGTCAGATTTAAACCTTAATACAATTACCATGGTTTCATGTATTCTTAGACAATTCCCAACACTGGGATTGTATGAAGCTGACTGAGTTGCCTGTGTGGCCATACTGTAAATCCTGCAGTATGTTCTTGGCACTTACTTGAACTGAGGAAGCCACTTGGATAGGCAGTGAAATATCTTGTCAAGTCCTGTTGAATGTAACTAATAGAATGAATCCCGGAATTCAGATGATGAGATATTCAAGTTGAGTTTGATGAATACTCATGTCATGAGTTGAATTCAAATTTTAGTATTATATTTGGCAGTTCTGAAATATTTCTGGGAAAAAGGGAGCAAAGGTCCTCCTCTATTTCTGCCTTTTACTGCTTCTGCTGTTACCTGAACACCCTGAGCTTGACTTCTAGTGCCACCAGGTCCCACCCTTTTATCTACAGCTGGCCAAACACTGCCTAGATTTTTGAAAGAACTTTCACGCACAATATTGGTAAAAAACAAATCAAGGCAACTGGACTTGCTGTGTTTTTCTTGAAGACATTTTGCTGGTCATCCATCTAGCTTTCTCAATTCAGAATTGAATGAAATTGAGAAAGCTGGTTGGATGACTAGCGTCACTTCTTCAAGAAAAATACAGCAAGTCCAGGTGCCTTCATTTTTTTTTTTATAGATATACCATGACCTGGATGAATGAATGAATGAGAACCTTCACAGGCATTTCATATGAAAGAAGGTTCCTTTGACTTTCTATTAGCTGATGATCGCTTTTGACCACAGTGAAAAAAAAATTGAATGAGCAGGATGGAATTTTTTTCTCGAAAGAATGAAATTCTAACAGCGAATGTGGTTTTCATTCGGGATACTTCTTTCATTCCAAAATCGAACGTTGAAATCAAATGAAATTTCAACACATTAGAAAGTTGATGTGTCTGATGACATTATCGGGTGGTAAAGGAAGGTCTTTCGCACAAACGTTCATCAGGAATCTAGTGTCTAGTGTACGGCCAGCTTTAGTATTACTAGTAGGAAGTATCACAAATTGTTTTTCTGGCCCCATCATCTCATCAGACAGGTTTCTCAAACCATTCTGTACTATTTTGCATTATTTGCTGCTCTGTAATACACACTCATTTGAATCCTGGTTTGGATTAAATTGATTGGTTCAGAAATTTAGAATTTACAAAAATTTCAAAACCCATCAATTAAATAAAATGGATTAATAAATTGATCAAATGTTTTAGAAATTCGCTCATCTTTAGTGACTAATTAATATTCGTTTTGCCATGACCTGAATTAATAACAATCCTCATGGGACTACCTTTGCCTGTCCACTGCGGCCTTCTCTTTCACGATTGTTTGGACAGAAAATGTTTGTATGCATAGATTCTTTGTTGTTTTTGTAACATGTTATAGTGTTACTATAACTATATATTGATAACTATATCAATGTAGAGAACTACTGTATATCAATGTAGTGAGTGATATAGATAACTATATCTATGTAGTGAACTGAAGAACTGTACGGGGTTTTGTGAATAGCCGTACAGCAGCTTTTCGGTTCGACTGAACTGAAGGGCAGAGGCGACCGAAGCGAGCCAAAGGATCAGCCGAAGCTACGGCTGGATCCTTTGGCTCATTAGTGAATAACCCTCTGTGTGTTTGTGGAGACACACACAGATTAGTAGCACACACAAGGGGAGCTCCATAGGACCCTGCAAGGAAAAGGAGTCACCCTGAAACAGGATATCAGGACCAGTGCTCAGGAAACCAGCTGATTCTGCAAGAAACTAAAACTTTTAAACATCAAGGAGCAGCATCCATTGTAGGTGGTTTCATCAGCATTTGAAATCTCTTAAAAACCTTTTGACTTTAATACCATTTTAACAGTGACTTGCATTTGCTATTCATTCCGATAAAACTCTGCAGTGTTACAGCTCTCATACAGTATATTAACACAGCAGCGCAGAAAGGTGATAAGACGCCGTCACTCGATAAAGCGAGATAACAAAGATGGAATCAGAGCCTTTTTTTTAAATTATTACCTATTCTCATAACAAGTGAAGCGCACAATACATCCTCCAGGGAGGAACAATGGATCTGGAACAATGCATTCTCTCTATTTTACCAAAGTCGCACTCCTTTAATACAATTAACAGTTCGGAAGGTTCTAAAGGATAATATGGAGCGTCTACCTCTGACACCTTTTCATTCCCACATAAACCATGTCATAATTACCTTCTGCACTTCACAGGGATCTCACGGCTCCGGTAATTACTTTCAAACCCATACAACGCTGTCGCTAATTAATCTCGCAAGTCCAAGGCCCTGAAATGCTTAAGGTAAATGAGAATATAGATCCTGAAATCACTAATGTTATATGCTGAAAGAAGATTCTTCTGTAAGCCTTTGATAACACATTAGAGCCTACTGCCAGCCAGGTTGGTTCTTGTTTAGTATAGATTGGGGAAGATGTAAAATACCTGGCAGGTCCGCCAGTACTGCTAATGGGGTTTGCAGGGAGCCTTATACATTGTCTAATACAGGGGTGGGTAACTCCGGCATAACTACAAATCCCATCATGCCTTTGCCCCTGGGAGTCATGACTGTGGTTGTCAGTCTTGCAATGCCTCATGGGACTTGTAGTTCCACAACAGCTAGAGGGCCGGAGTTGCCCACCCCTGCTCTAGTAGCACCTCAGTGCATGGAATTAACTGAGCACCTTTCTTGTCTAACTTTCTTTTAAATCAAAAGTAGAGCCTTGTACTTTTTTTAAAGTGAATCTGTCACATACCTGTGCACTTTAGGCTGGGCATATAATGAAACATTTCATTGGCATTAGGGATGCAGTGACATTTTGGCTACCGAAACATCTCGGACGAAAATGGTACTTTGGGCAAAGTACCATAACGGACGAAAATGTGGCCGAAAATTCAGTGCATCTCTAGGCTTCTCTCCTCCCTGCTGGACGCCGGTCTGTGTCCCCTTCGATGCTCGCTGCTCCCCCCACCTGTGTCCACGGAGGCAGCAAGAAAACCGAGGGGGCACAGAACGGTGTCCAGTGGGGAGGAGAGAAGCTTTCAGGAGGCCAAGCGAGGTGGTGCAGGGAGGAGTGAGCTGTCAGCTGTCACAGGAGCCCGAGCTCTCCTCCTGCACCACTCCGCTTGTCCTCCTGTGACAGGCGGAGGAGTCGGGATGGAGAGTGGCTTACAATCGCTCAGCGATCATTATTGATCGCTGAGTGTTTGCAAATAACTGAGCACATAGTAAGCTTACTGTGTCCCCAGTTATGAATGAATAGGAAGTGCTCTACATCACTTTCTGTTCATTCATTATTGTGGACATAGTAACTGATGATATCTCCACAGTTTATGAATGGAAAGGAACACTCAGTATTGAAACTTCCTGTTCGTTCAGAAAAGGAGCTGCAGAAAAAGAGATTTAGGACTCTGTGTTCTCAATCTCTTTTCCTATTTTAAAAGGGGAATATCAGAGGTCTGTTTAGACCCCTAATATTTCCACAGGGCCCCCAACAGTAAAGTAACAAAACAAAACAAGTAATTTAAAAATAATTCTAAATAATTTAAAAGGAATGAAAAACCCCCCATTATTTTCAGTTTTGGTTTCGTCATGACAAATTTCTTATTTTCAGTTTCGTTCTAAAAATTCCATTTTGGTGCATCCCTAATAGGCCTCTGTGAGAACGGAATGTCAAAACTATCCATGTATCTCAAACTTTTCTCTAGAATCTTGGTTGGCCGCACCACCTGAATCCCTATTGGTTCTTTGAAATGATGGACAACCCTGTTGATCAATAGGAAGGCTTGGAAGGAGGGAGGGGCGTATCAAATCTTAAAGTGAACCTGTGTCCGGATCATGCACACCATAGCATTTACATAATCCTAACAAGCGGTAAAACCATTGCTCATTCACCTCTGTATCTACAAGCATTGCGGCTACACCAGGACAAATAGAGAGGGTGAATCTCCATAACAGGGACACAGGCTGCAATAAAAACCTGACAGGTGTTCTAATCCCTCTCCACTCCATCCGAAGCTAAAAAAAAAATCATTTTGGCATTTCAGATTCAAACTTTGTAAAGCTAGAACAGAGGGCAAAATCTAATTTTTGCATAATGAAGCTCCGCCATTATAATAAGTTTGGAGAAGGCAGGAGGAGTAAACAAAATAGTCGATTTGGAAAAATTCTCCAATTCAGCTCACTTTCCAGTTCAGCTATGTTGACCTAGATTGTTCACTTCTCCTGTCTTCTCCAAACTCTTCACCCTTTTGTGAATAACCCTGTAAATATCCCGATTCTTGCCTAAACCCAGCCATGACTGGTTCTCTTTAAAGAACAACTCCGGGTAAAATAAATGATTAAACCTTGCAGTGGGGCTACCCCCACACTGCAAGGGTTAACTGCTTGTTTTATACTCACCCAATC